GAATCCTTCCTTTTTCTTCTTACATTAAGCTGGACTAATCAGTCTTGTAAGAATAGGAAATTTAGTTCATAGATTTACTTCATAAATTTAGAAGCTACTCATCTGTTTTCAAGAGAAGCAGGTGTAAAACAACAAATATTTCACCAGTACAATGTGACTTAGAATAAGGTCAAATTGATATGGATACTTCTATCCTTGCATCTCATATCTAAAAATTAATTGCTGACAATATTGTTGCTTTATAACAACTGCCACATAATAATGGAAGCAAATTTATAATGAACATTACAAAAAATGGAGGGGGGGTAATACTCTGTTTGATTTTGGGTATTTTTGCTTTCCTGACATCTATGAAATATTTGTTCAGTCTCTATTTTTGCTAAACATGCAATATGATTTTTACAGAATAAACAGAACCTTGGGTACTGTCTCGTAGGTAGCCACATATGGAAATGTTCCATCTGATCAAAGCTTAAATTACAGACAAATATTTAGAAAGACGTTTTCCCTATCTGTCTATTGATCTACATACAACTAAAGTGAGCTACTGAATATACACACACTTATTATTATTCTGGTTTGTTGCATAGTCATTTAGATGTTTAGATTGGACCTGGCATTTTTGTTCACCTATTGAGTTCTTCTCAAGGACCTGGGAGAGTGTTAAAGGTCTCATCACATGATGTAAGTTGCCTTTCACAATTGACTGATGGTGATTGTCAGTACTGATGGTGTTCAAGTGATGTAGGGTTAGGAATACACTCAAGGCACCTATTATTATTGGTACTATCTTTGCTTTCTTTTGCCACACTTGTTCTATTTCTACTTGTAGGTCTTTGTATTTTCTTATTTTCTCCAGTTCTTTCCCTTTTATTCAGCTGGTTCCAAGCACTGCCATGTCCATTACCCAGCTTTTTTTTTTGTCTTTCTTATCAACCAATGTTAAGTTTCGAGTCTTATGTGACAGGTGCTTCTCTGTTTGAATTCTAAAATCACAGAGCACTTCATTTTCTATTATTTTGTCTATTTTGTAGTCTCACTAGTCTTTGCTTGCAGCCAAGTACTATTTCTTGCAAATCTTGAATGCACCATTCTTGCTACTTTATCATGTTGTTGCTTTTAGTCATTCTGTGTGATCTTCTTGCAGCTAAATAGGTGATCCACTGTTTCTTCAGCTTGTTTTTGGAGGTGTCATCTGCTGTCTGATAGTGTCCTCTCAATTTTGGATTTGTATGTTGCTCTTAAGGTTTGGTTTATGCATCCAGAATTAGCCCTTCTGTCTCTTTCTTCAATTTTCATTCTCTTAACTATTAGCAGGTCTTATTATATGCTTTATCTGCTCTTTTTAAATGCACTTGCCATTGTAATACTTTGCCTTGCCATATTTCTTTTCTGTTTTTCATTTTGGTTTTTCTTGTAAGACAATTTGGTCTTTCTGGTATTCAGTTAGCCTTCCTGGTATACTAGCTTCAGTGCATCTTCTTCACTATCCTTCAAATATTCTTCCAATGTCTTTTTTCTTCTTCAACTGTCTGGTACCCTTGCAACGTACCACAGCCACCTATGTTTCTTGGTAAACAGAGTCTGTCGATGCCACTGTTTAGAGAAAGGCCATGATTTATTGTCATCATTTTTCTGGTCTACTAATTTTTCACTTGACTTCCCTGAAGCATGCCATGTTGTCAGTTTGGAGCATGCCCAAGTATTTGCAGTGATCTTCATTCAAACTCCTGATGTTTTCCATTGGACATTATGGTTGTTTCAGTTTTCACTATTTTTCTCTGATGGTGAATATGGCATATTTATCCAGAACAAATACTCTGTAATATATAGTTTGTATTTTTGGACAGTGTTTAGCAGTGATTCCATTTCAGATAGTCTTTTTAAGATGGTTGCTTAGCCAGCAGTCCTGATATTGTTTACAGATTTCCTTTCTTCCAAATGACAGGAAGTGGATAAACTTAGATCTTTAAAATATAACTATATCTCATGCTGTTACAAATTCAGCAGAAGGTAAAAGAGTGACTGATCTTGTAACAATCACTATTATAGTGAATCTCAATATCATATCAAATATGAATCAGAGCATAATGCCAAAAGGGATATTATTAGGCTCGAGTCCTTTAGTTGGAACAAATTTAGATGAAAGAGTTGCCTGTTGGCAACATTTGTGTTACTCTACACCTTATGTCACCTCTATCCAATATGACTACAGGCCTGAAGATTAATTTTTATGGGAACTTTACTTGAGCACCTGGAGGACATTAGATCAGATATGGCTTATAGAGATAAAAATAATTGATGATAATAATTTAAGATATTACAAGCTATTAAAATTAAGCAGTACACACTGCTTTTATGAATATAAGTATTTTTAACCCATCTCCATTCTTGATAAAATAGGAAATGTTAGTCAGAGACATAGCATATTTCTATTCTGAATCAAATTTAATCTGAATGAAAACTTCATGCAATGGAACACAATTTATTCTTCATGTATGTTTTAAAGAAGTTTTGTTTCGCCACCAGCCAAATCTAATGCATGGAAGCACAAACAATATGGACTTCCAGATATGAATATTAAGCAATACTTTTTGTCAAATGGCATTGACACTGTTCCAAAGCCCAAGACTGTTTCTGTATGCTTAAAAATTATAGAATTAAAGAAAATTTCCCCAAACAGAATTTATCCCAAGTCTAGGATATTGGGAAAAATTGTACCTATTAAAATTCTGTTCACTATGCATTACTTTAAATTAACTGGTTATCTAGAATATCCAGACATGGTTAATCTTTTTTTTAAACTAGGGACAATGCTAACATTACTTATTTATAAGCAGCTCTCTGAGTTTTAGCTTTTTTAGAAGATTTTGCTATGTAGTTTTCGAAACTGCTTTTAATGCTGTTTACCTTACAGCATTTAGCTTTCAATCTAAGAAGATAATCTGCTGCATAAGAGCAAGAAAAACACATGATTGTGCCAATTCCATAACAGCATTGCTAATATCTGGCTTTAAAAAAATCTGAAAGATCCCTTTGACATTTTCCTTTCATTAAAGGGGGATAAAACCTCATCACTGACTCTAATCTACAAATAATTCATATAAATGTTTCTAAGACTGTCTTTAAGTCTAGGGATGTTTAACAGGGAAGTTATCCAGGTTTGGCAACAAATATCTTGCAAGCCAACAGAGAACACCTAACTATTATCTAGTGCAACAAGCAATACAGTTGGATTTGATCAAACATTGTGACAAAACCAACAGATGTTTTTTATTCATTAAATGCATTGCATAGCAGTGTACCCATAAAATATGAAAGTTCAATGGATTTGAAAAGTTAGTGCCTTAGATTTTGCAGGTTTCATTCCTACAAACTTCCTTACTGTTAAGTTATTAAAATTGTTTTGTCAAAAAAAATATTATATGCAAATGAAAAAGAAGTAGCCCATAATCTTCTATATTGGCCATGCTTCCCATAACAATGAGATTCTTCCAAGGCCATGGATTCTTCATGCTCTTCATGCTTTAACATCTGTTTTAAAACATGTTACTTTAAAATGTGCATTTTTTTAAAAGAAATGTAAGCTTTCAGGGATATCAGAGGAGGAAGAGGAGGAAGAAGAAGAGGAAGAAGAGGCTCCATCATTGATAGCTGATAATCAAGTTTAAAAACGGAAATGATAATTTTGCATGCATAGCAAATACAACTTATGGAATCCAAATTTAAATGAAAATGTATTGTCCACATTACTGAAGTAATATTCTAGCTGCCAGATTTTTTTCTATTAAATAAACAACTAGAATATAATTTACATGCTTTATAGATAATTGTTCTTAA